CTCCTTGAACTGTCCGTCTCCTCTCCACCTATCTGCTCCTTTATCCACCTTCCATCTGCCTCCCCCCTCTGTATTTATTTCAGAGTCCCCTTCCCCTCCCCCATTTCTGAAGAAGGGTCCAGACCCAAAACGTCAGCTTTCCTGCTCCTCTGATGCTGCTTGGCCTGCTGTGTTCATCCAGCTCTACACCTTGTTACCTCTCACTGTTGAATGCCCTGAAGCACAAACTCCAACAATGATCTTGAGGAACCAAATGCTTCCAACAGCTTCTGTCAAGGTAGGATTTCACTGTTGAGACTCAACTCTCACTGAGAAGCTCATCAATTAGCCTTCAAATGACTGATTTGAGCTTGACACAAAAATGTTTTTTCGAAAAAAAAACCACTAAAACTTGTAAATTACAACTGTGCTGTAATTCCATTTTCAAGTGTGCAACATAAGTTGAACCAGTTTGTGACATTTCCAAGTCTCACTCTCATTGGTGGGGGCGGGAATTAATCACTCCGGAAGACACATACCCCCTTACTTAGTGCATGGAGCATTAAATTCTGGCCTACTGTTTCTATTCATGAAGCCAACAATTCCATATGCCTTTTCAACAGCTTTTTCACTTGTGCTGCCAGCTTCAAAGACTTGTCTGTGTTCACCCCAAGATTCTCTGTTCGTGAATCCAATTTAAAATTTTACTATTATTTCCTAACACTGCCCCTGAGGATACCACTGCACATTCTTCCAGGCTGAGAAAGAAGTGTTAATTCCTGCCCTGCATTTCTGTGTCAATTTTAAATCCAAATCTCTTTACACCTGTTGGCCTCAAATTTACAAATGATTCTATTTTGTAATATTTTATTACACACTTGTTGAAAGGTCACGCACATAACATCTACTGCACAACTATCATCCACTTTCACAATTGCTTCACTTCAGAATTGAATCAAGTTGACCAAATACAAGTTGGCCTTCATAAATCTGTGCTGGCTTTCATTTCTCTAGTCATACTTTTTCATGCAGCTATTCTTTTCGTCTTGGGTCCATGTATCTGCAGGCATTCCTAACACCAACGTTAGATTGACAAGCCTGTACTTGTCGTGTGCATCCCACTGT